CAGAGAGGTTAAGTGGCTCCTGGCAGGCAGAGCCAATATTAGAATACAAATATGTTGGGCCGGCCCGGTGGCGCATTGCTACAGTGCGCCACTTGGGAGCGCGGTGGCGCTCCCGCCGAGGGTTCGGATCCCACATACAGACGAGCCGCTCACTGGCTGAGCAAGGTGCGGGCGCGATACCAAGGGTTGCGATCCCGTTGCCGGTCCCGGTCCGGTACGGGCGCGACACTGAGGGTTGCGATCCGTTGCCAGTCACGAAAAAAGACAAAAGTAAAAAAAAAAAAGAATACAAATATGTGATGAATTTTAGGAGCACCCATCACATGCAGGGCACGGTACTGGAGATTCAGAGATTAATGGGTACTGTTCTTATCCTTGAGGAACAATCTAGACACAAATGTGTACTCACACTCACCACTGCAGACATTTGCTCTTTCTCTGTGACAAATCTCCTTCACCCTCAGGAGACCCACTCATGACCTTGCTGAGGTAGTTTGACCTCAGCCTTTCACTGCCAGGCTCTTTTCTCCTGTTTCTGGGTTGATACTACCCTAGCTTTCCTCTTCATTTTGGAAGTAGATGCCAACATATTGTGTTTTATATCCTAGTTCTACAATTTCCATTCATTAGTTTTTAGCTAATACTTTCTATTTTTTCCCTTTTTTTAAAAAAAATGAAATGTCTTTCATTCATTTATTGAGCATAATTGGAATACATCCTTTAAAATCCTTATCTGCTACTTTCACCATCCAGGTCAGCTTGAGATTGGTTTCCGTTGATTGTCTTGTTTACTTGAGACTGGGTCACCTTTCCTGATTCTTCTTTTTTTCTAATTTATTTTTAAATTTTTTATTGGCAAAAAATTGTATGTATTTATCATGCACAACTCCATGTTTTGAAATATGTACACATTGTGGAATGGCCAAATCAAGCTAATTTACATATGCATTGCATCACATACTTTTTTGGTGTGTGTGGTAAGTCCATTTAAAATCTGCTCTCTTAGCAATTTTCAAGTATGCAATACATTGTTATTAACTACAGTCACCATGTTGTACAATAGGTATCTTGAACTATTCCTCCTAAATGAAATTTTGTATCCTTTGACTAACATCTCTCCAACCACCCGCACCTTCCCTCAGCCCTTGGTAACCACTATTCTACTCTCCACTTCTGTGAGTTCAATTTCTTAGATTCCACATATAAGTGAGATCATGCAGCATTTGTCTTTCTGTGCCTGGCTTATTTTTCACTTAGCATAATGTCCTCCAGGTTTATTTATGTTGTTGCAAATGACAGGATTTCCTTCTTTTCTAAGGCTAAATAGTATTCCATTGTGTATGTATACCTCATTTTCTTTATGCATTCGTCTGTCAATGAACACTTAGGTTGATTCCATACCTTGGCTATTGTGAATAATGCTGCACTGAACATGGACTGCAGATATCTCTTTGACATACCTATTTCATTTCCTTTGGATATATACCCGGTAGTGGGATTGCTAGATCATACGGTACTTATATTTTTAATTTTTTGAGGAACTCCCATAATGTTTTCTATAATGGCTGTGCTAATTTATATTCCCACCAACAGTGTACCAAGATACCCTTTTCTCCACGTCCTCACCAACACTTATCTTTGTCTTTTTGATAATAGCCATTTTAACATGTTTAAGGTGATATCTCACTATAACTTTAATTTGCATTTCCCTGATGATTAGTGATGTTAAGATTTTTTCATACACCTGTTGGCCATTTGTGTGTCTTCTGAGGTCCTTTTGCCCATTTTTAAATTGCGTTATTTGTTTTCTTACTATTTGTTTGAATTTCTTGTATATATTGGATTTTAGCTCCTTATCAGATGTATGGTTTTCAGATATATTCTCCCAGTTCATAGGTTGTCTCTTCACTCTGTTGAATATTTCCTTTGCTGTGCAGAAGCTTTTTAGTTTGACATAATCCCATTTGTCTATTTCTGCTTTTGTGGCCTGTGCTTTTGGGGTAATACCCCCAAAAATCATTGCCCAGACCAATATCATGGAGTTTTTCTCCTGTTTTCTGTAGTAGTTTTATAGTCTCAGGTCTTACATATAAGTCTTTAATCCATTTTGACTTTTTTTGTGTGTATGGTATAAGATTGGGAGGGGGAATCTGGAGTTTATAACTTTCATCCAAGGCATGGTTGGATCTGGTAGGAAGTCCTAATTCTTTTTATATTGAATAATTTTGGATTGTATACTGGACATTGTTGTGCTGTGAAGACTCTAGATTTTGTTATATTCCTTCAAAGAGTATTGGGATTTTTGCTTTAGAAGCCAGTTAATTTGGTTGAACACAAACTTCAAAGTCTCTCTCTTGAGCAGAAGCTCAAGTGTCACTTCAAGTCTTTTATCTTTAGCAGAGGTTCTTTGCATGTTCCCTACACATGCAGAGTTCAAGAGTCAGCCAAAGCCTAGGACAGAATTTACACTGGAATTTAGGGCTTCCCCTGTCTGGCTTTTTTCTTTCTGGGATTCTCTCCTAACTTACTAGTGACTGTGGTTACCCTGAACTCTGTCCTCTGGCTCCTCAGGCCATAAAGATTACAAGTTTTCTATCTGAGTTTAGTCACCTTTTATGGCAATGTTGTAATCTAGGAGAAACCAAACTGTTTTCCCCTGCACTCTTACACAGCTCTTCACTCAGTGCTTCTGATATCAGATGTGTGGGGATTGTTGTTTCCCCACACACCGAGCAATCTGTTCTCTGGCAGATTCTCCAGGGGACTCCAGCTGGGTAGCCTCTAATTTAATTCAATTCTGACACTTTGTTCCTGGAGGTAGAGTCAGACTCCACAGATTAAGGGCTGTGTTCCACAAGACTGCCCCCTACTTCAGATACCAATCAAAAGTCTAAGCCTCTAGAACTTCTGACTGACCTTCTATTCTTTGGGGGTTCCCATGACCCCTCCTTTGGATTCAGTTAATTTGCTAGAGCAGCTCACAGAACTCAGGGAAACTATGTTTACCCATTTATTACAAAGGATATTACAAAGGATACCAATAAACAGCTGATGGAAAAGACATGTAGGGCAAGGGAAGAGGGAAGAGATGGGGGGCTTCCACTCCTTCTCTGGGGCACCACCCTCCAGGAGCCTCCACATGTTCAAATGTCCAAAATCTCCCTCCAAAACCCTGTTGTTTTGGAAGATTCATTACATAGGCAAGATTGATTACATCACTGGTCAGCGGTGATCAACTCAACCTTCAGCTCCTTTCTCTTCCCAGGAGGTTGAAGTGTGGGGCTGAAAGTCTCAGTCCTCTAATCAAGGTCTTTCAGGTGACCAGCCCCATCCTGAAGCTACCTAGGGGCCCTGAGCCACCAGTCATCTCACTGGCATGCAAAAGACACTCATCACTCCAGAGTGCTCAAGGATTTTAGGATCTGTATGCCAGGAAATAGGGACAAAAACCAAATATAACAATATCACAGGCACTGACTTTGGTCATCTCTCAAAGTTAAAAGTCGCTGAAAACAAGAAATTCACTGGGTGCCATTTTTCTTCCAAGATTCACCACTCCCTTCATCCACTCCCCCCTTCTATCACCCTATGAACCTAAATGCCTTCAGATCATTAATGCGGGGTGGGTAGGAAAGGAGTCTAGAGTTTATAATTTTTATCTAAGAGATGGTTTGATCTGGTAGGACCTTACAGAGCCATACTAAAAGCAGAACTCTCTCTTTTATTACCTGATGCCTCTCTGTACAGTTTTTGTTTGCAGGAAGGGTTCCACTGCTGAAAAACAAAACCAAAGTCCGAAAATCCACTGTACTTGTCTAACATCCAGACAGCTTTTAAACCCTCTAACATCACTTCTAAGCAACCTGCATTTCTAGCCTTTGTAGCTAGCACTTCCAGTGATAGAGACCTTGCCCTTTCTCCTCTCTGGTTTCTATGTTCCCTCCTCAGTTACCCAGGGCCCAACAAAGGCTCTTCAATGTCCATGTCTCCTCAATGGCAGAATTTTAGCAAAGTTCCTTGGAAGGAAAAGCTGATTGACTTCCAGCTGCTAAGTGTTGCTTTTCTTTGATGAACATTTCAAATGGATCTTTTTGGTGGAAGAGGAGATGATAAAAGGAGGAAGTGTGCAACTCAGCCTGTATTCTGACATCTAGTTGATACTCTAAAGAGCCTGGTTGCCCTGGCATGCACCTTGAGGCATGTTGCATTTCAGAATGGAGCAAGGGAAGGTCACTGGCCTGGAGTGAGCAGCCAAGAATGTCTGCTGCTCTACTGACCTGCTCAGGAAGGAGGCAGGGCAATGACCGAGGTGATAGGTACCTGTGGTTATATTAGGAGATAACCTGAGGGGCTGTGGTTTGGACCCAGATATGGTTAGAGATTAGGGGCATTCTACTGTGTAAGCAAACTAAAGATAGTAGAGTAAAACTAGTCTTGTAGATAATAGTCATAGAATTGGATCCTGGGTCCTACTCTGAATTTTGCCTGTAGCTCCATAACCTTTAAAAAGTCCCCTCAACTTTCTAATGAATTTTTCCGCTGGGAGAGATGGGTTTCACAGGATGGCTGCAAACTAAATGGAGAAAATGTACGCATGAAGAAATATGGTAGAAAGAGAAGTCATAGAAGCTGGGAATGATTTGTTTATGTAGACAGTGATGAGTATAGAAAAGAAATCACTGCTTGATTCTTCATGTCAGGCACTCAGCCCTTCCTGATATCCACAGGCTTGCTCTCTGAAAGTGTATCACTTACCTTTGTCCCTTCGAGGAGCAGAGCTGTAAGTGTCCGCTTACATCAAAGTGTGGTACAGTATTTTGAGTTAGCTTATTCACTGCTGAAGTCTGTAATCTATTTGTGAACTCCCTGCTGTTTACCACCTACTCTCCTGGTAAGAAACAAAAAACAAATGAAATTAAAATGGCGGCTGCTGCTTGTCGCCACCAGCCTCAGTCTTTGCGGGCCCCTGTTGTCTGCCGGCACCAGGGTCTGCAAGCCAGTGTCAAAAGCAACAAATGTTACTATAGATCCGCGGTCATTTCTTCTCAAGAATCCCAACGATATATATGAACCAATCCCACTGGGGGAAGATGAGGAGAAAAATGAAAGTGGGTTAACTGAAGGCAGATTAATCCCCATCAATCGAAGCAGTCCTCTTCGGAGACCACCCCCTGTGTTCATCTCGGAAGATGCCTCAGGATACCTGAGCAGCCCCTGGTTGACTGTCTTTGTGCCCTCCGTTTACACCAGCGTGTTTGTAGTAAGCCTTCCTCTCAACATCATGGCCATCGTTGTGTTCCTCTGGAAAATGAAGATCAAGAAGCCGGCTGTGGTGTACATGTTGCACCTGGCCATGGCAGATGTGCTGTTCGTGTCCATGCTGCCCTTTAAGATCAGCTATTACTTTTCCGGCAGTGACTGGAAATTCGGGTCTGAAATGTGTCGCTTCGTGACTGCAGCATTCTACTGTAATATGTACGCCTCCATCATGCTCATGACAGTCATAAGCATTGACCGGTTTCTGGCTGTGGTGTATCCCATCCAGTCCCTCTCCTGGCGTACTCTGGGAAGGGCGTCCTTCATTTGTCTGGCCATCTGGGCTATGGCCATGGCGGGGGTGGTGCCTCTCCTCCTCCAGGAGCAAACCACCCACGTACCGGGGCTAGGGAAAAAGATAGCTTAAAAGGCTCTGATCTCATACATAAACCATTTCACAAGACATGGGGGGTTTAGAGTGGCGACTCACACTTTTTAAAGATAGTGCCCAGCAGGCAGATACTGGCAGTGCCTGGTTACCAGAAAGCAAATGTGAATATGTTTCTTGTCTCTGGATCTGGCTGAAAAATAGTGACCTCAGGGACACACTGGGGTGCTAGTCAGCACCAGGAGCTTCAATCTTCATGGTGCTGGAATGAGGAGCACTGCAAACCCTAAGGCAAATGAGTCAGCCAAGGATCATCAGAGGATCAATGACTCCACTGTGCCTGGGGGAAAACAAAGATTTGGAAGTCAGCTACGGGAACACATGTTTGCAGCACATGTAATAAACTTGGAATAAATTCTTCACTGTAGACCCCTCTTACAAGCTGATGAAAAATCGTATAACTTCGTATAATGTATGCTATACGAAGTTATTACGAACGTCCTCCTGATCATGCATTACTCATTCCTTTCTCACAGTTCCATGACGGAGGCTGCCTACTTTGCCTACCTCCTCTGTGTCTGTGTCAGCAGCATCAGCTGTTGCATTGATCCCTTGATTTACTATTATGCCTCCTCTGAGTGCCAGAGGTACCTCTACAGTATCTTATGCTGCAAAGAAAGTTCTGATCCCAACAGTTATAACAGCAGTGGTCAGTTGATGGCAAGTAAAATGGATACCTGCTCTAGTAACCTGAATAATAGCATATACAAAAAGCTGTTAACTTAGGAAAAGGGACTGTTGGTAGGTTTAAAAGAAAAGGTTAAAAAAGTGAATAACCTGAGGATTCTGTTAGTACCTGCCAAAACTATATTTACTTTACCACCTAAAACAACAAATGTATCATTTGCATGCCTGCTTCTTATGAGTACCATCAAGCATATATATTTGTTAATTACCAGAAAAGATAACAGGAACAGAAGACAATGTTATTCCAAGAGAGTGTTGTCAATGCAACAGTAATAACTGAATGTCACTTTTGGATATGTCTAGGTGACTTTTATATATATATATGCATATGTATATATATGCATGCACACACATATTATTTGCAGCACAGTATAATATAGGTACTTCCAGCCTTATTTTTTCCCCCAGTGATTATGAAAATAATATCCACTTCTCTGATTTAATATGCAAGGTCTCCATTGGTGGAGTTTAGCCCCGAGCATCTGAAGGTATCCGTCAATAGTGAGAAACTCCATAGTCTGGACGTATGCAGCTTTTGCAAATAAATGTATTTGGAAATTATTCAACAGCAATGTGTAAGTTATTGAGGGATATGACAGTACTACGTGTGTGCAGAAAAAGTTCTAGTGCTTTTTCATTTTAAACATATCAAAGTTTGATTTCTTAAAATTAATGAGACAGATAAAAAGCCCCTGTTTTGATATGGGTAGAATTTTTGACATTTAATGCACTGTATATGTAAACCAAGACTGAGTATAAGTTCCATTCTTGACTATTGGCTATTGGCTGGCTTCTGGAGTAGCCTCGCCCTGACAGCTGCATGCATCTGCCCCCAATGGAAGACTCCAAGCAGCACATACATGGCAGGGCCATGTCGGACACAGATTGGCCAGAAACTCTCCAGCTGAGCCTCCTATAGAGCAGCAAGATTGGGACCACCATGTTCGCTCCATCCTCCTGGGGTTCCGCCAAGGGTTGGCTGTGAACTGACCATATTTATTAGAGATTGGCAAAGCAGGATGTGATATCCTAGGAGATAATCACTAGGAAAGACTTCTCTGCCCATCCTAAAAACAAAGAAAAAAGGTGAGTTCATGTCCAGTAGTTGTCCTGCACAGTTCTCATATGGAAGCACCCATCATGTGCCATGGGCACTCTGGTGGGTACTGGGCATACAGGGTGGAATAAAATTGAGATCTGGCCTCAAGTAGAGTAGACAACACATAGTAAAGTGTGATGTGTGTGATAAATATGGCTGTATATAAAGAAGTGTTTTTAGCCAAATGTCAAGTGTGTTTCACAGTATCAGGGCTTGTCAGCTAAAGAACTTTGAACATTTGGGTTACTGTTTCCGGTGGTTATAACTTAAGAAGAAAACATAACACAGTACAGGATGTGTTTTTTTTTTTTTTAAATAAGTCCGTCAGTCTGCATTAATTTGACACTTTATTTACAAGTTAAATAAGTCCGTCAGTCTGCATTAATTTGACACTTTATTAACAAATGTTTTGTTCAATAGATTACTCAAATCAGGTTTTCTTTTAAGAGTCAATTATATCAGTTGGTTAGAAATAACAGAAGAAAATGGAATTGACATTGAAATCTAGGAAAACTATTCTATATTTTTCATTCCCTAAGAGTTAATGAGATGATTTTAAAAGCATCTTTTAACCCTATGATGTTATTTAGTATAGAAAATCTTCATGGATTTGACAAAGTAATTTGAAAATTAGGTTGAAATATATCTTTTTTCCTTATGAAAAAATGGTGGCATTGTCAACAAACAAAAAAAATGGAAAGTTGCAGTTAAATGCTTATCTGTTTACAAGAGCAAACTATTTCCAAATATCATAGAATAATTTACATGAAAGTAATATAACTACTGTAAGTAGAAGCTAGCACTGATTTTATTAATTTAGTTACTATATTCACTTTAAGTCAGTGAAGATATACCATCATTGTTTATTCAGTCTATTTATAACTATACTTATAAAATATTATGTCACTCTTTTATGTTCACTTTGTTTTTTAAATATTTTATGTAACCTATGTTAATAAAAATGACAATTTTCTTGGTATCTGTGTGGATAAATTATTATTGTATCTTTCAGGCCCTGGCAGGATGTCACACTTTAAGGATTTAACTGAAGAGCATTTCATGAAGAAGTGATTTGCAGAGGTGTGGGCAGGGTTAAGGGAACCAGCAGGGCATGGCAAAGCACCCCAGAAACTAGCAATTAGGGGACACCATGATGACCCCAGGTCCAGAGGCGTGGCGGGGGGAATACACTGACCTTCTTTTCCCCAACCCTCTGGTCTCTTGCTGGTGCCTCCCATTGCTCCTAACTCAAAACCCAGAGGCCAAGAGAACCTGGGTGACATAGTCAATAAAGATCAGCTTCCTCGGACATTGAGAATAGATCTAGAAGAACAAATGGAGAAAAAAAACCAAAAAACAAAACAGCACAGTTTCTGCCAAAGGCCTTGGGTGATTAGCTTTCTCTCTCTCTTTTTTTTTTTTTAAATCCCTTCTTAGGAAAATTCAAGGTAATATCATTGAGAATATATTCAGATGCCTGGGGTACAGGCATCGTGGATAGTATCTGCAGTTCTTTCCTAGTGATAGAGACAAATGTCAGAGCAGGCAAGAACCCACAGCAGGGCTGTTCTGCTTCCTCTGCCCAAGTGACAGTTCTTTGCCTCCTAATCCTCCCTGGGGCAGAGGGCAGTAGGGGAACTTAAAGCAAAATGGCAAGTACCTCTGAGAGTTGAAAATCAATAAAAAAAATTTTGATAAAGTATTTCTAGATTCATGGCCCATGGAAAAATTATTTTAACTAAACAAAAATTCTGTTAACTCACTGAATTTTTAAGTTAATACACAAGCTTTTTTAAGTTTCTCAGACACGGACTCTCCACAAGTGCTTTAGGAATAGATTTATTAAGTGAAGTCAGATGTCGTCTCAGCTCACGGCCATCAGAAATAGGATCCTCACTCTAGCCAAAAAGTGACCTTTAAACTCTTCTATTATTTTTCAAAATATGTTTCAGTTCAAAAAACACACTCAAATTTCCTTAACACAAAAATGTTTGTTTTTTTCCACTAAGTCAAAAATAGCATTTTTAAGGAAATGGAATATTTCTCTGTTGAATATACACTTGGAAAATTTTAGGTTATATTTCTGAATTTAAGAAATTAAAAAAACTGTTGGCATAATCTTGAGGAAGTCTTGAGCTCCAGGAAGTAAGTGGAAAAGTTAAACAATGTTTATGACAAAGCTTTTTAAGTTTCTGAGGCCTGGACTCTTCACTAGTGGCATATTGTCACCTAGGTGACATAGTGAAGATTGAGGGGAAAATGTGGTCACCAACAGTAATATCTTGGCTTAATTAGCATGCTGTGTGGCTATGCAATTACTAAAACACGATTAGTAATAAACCTAATCATGTTTTATGAAAAAGGTGCAATACAAGAAGAGAGAAGAAATTCTCCCACGCAGGTGATTCTCAGAGTGCCTGAGACCCTTTTAGGAGATCTGTGAGGTCAAAACTAAGACATTAAGATATTATTTGCCTTTTTGGGTCTGATGCTCTAATAAGTGTATAGTAGAGTTGTGTCCTGAGGCTACATGACCTGTGATAGTGCAAGATTGTCTGCATTAAGCCAGTCACTAAAGAGATTTCAAAAATGTAAAACAACTCTCCTCATTAAGTTATTGTTTTGGGGAAAAAAATACTGTTATGAGAGATATGGTATTTATGTTAACATGTGATCGGTTTACTGTTATTTTTAGCTGAGATAAATATTTTCAAAAGTTTTCTATTTTAATGTCTCATATGGAAAATATCAGTAGATAAAATCAGCAGTGTGCTGGTAAATTAGACCTCCAGAAAAAATTTTAAAAGCCCCAGTTTGCAGCATTTCCCAATTTTCATGGTGTAAGTATTCTCTCCATTGCCAATTTCAAGCTTCCAACAACAGCTTAAGTTAGCTTGAAAATTTTCTGAACATGAGTTTTCATGAGTAGGTACAAGCTAACGCCAGCAATCCCCCTGGATATAACCCACATAAATGAGAGTTCTTTGTGTCCTCAAAAATTTTAAGTGTATTAAGGTGTCCTGAGCCAGAGTAGTTTGAGAACTACTACTCTTATGCAAGACTTCCCAAGAAGAGAAAGAAACTGTTAATAACTGTAATAATTGTAAAGCAAACAGTTGGCTCATAACTGCAGGCCACCACATTGGGTTTCTGGCTGTCCCACAGCTGAAGGGATAGGTATGTTGAAGCAATAGAAAGAAACTGAGTCAAGGCACCAGGTATGGTATAGCCCACAGGCTGGGAAGCTCTGTGTGAGGTCTGGTTTTCAACCACCTACTGTGAACAAGAACTGATACTGCTTAAAAGGAAGAGAGAGGCTCTTGCTGAGCAAGGTCTCAGACCCAGAGGCAATGCAAAGCAGCAGCAGATTCTACCTGTAGTGGCTCCTTATAAACTGAAAATCAAGCTCCAAGCTTGTTGTCATGGGGACTGTTGACTGCATACTGGTCTTCTGGAAACACATGAAAACCAGAGGTCAGATTCAGCAGCATCTGGAATTCAGATTACACAGCATGTATGGTTTCTACCCAGATGGCTGTGTGTTCTTCACTTCGGGAAATGACTCATAAGCAGTAGGGAGATTAGCTTTGAAAGCTGCATCTACAGTAGCCTGCAGACATCAGGTGGTGGCAGGGCCAGTCTGGCTGTTTTGCCCATCTTAACAACCACATCACTGGGCCATTTTAGTGTGCTGCTGTGCGACCCATCCGGGGAAGTGAAACACCACCAAGAGTGGGATTGCCAATACTGCGATGCATTTATGGGCAAGACCACAACTTGTGTTTTGCATGTGTGTTTGCTGCTTTGTTTCTCATCCTGAGATACCTAGCTACTCTTGAAACTGGCCAACACAGTGTGAAAAAATATATCTATATCCCTTCTTTCAGGTGCTAATTAGATGTAATCATAATACATAATGCTTAGTTAAGAAGCATGAAATTTTGAAGACCTCAGGTTTTAGGGAGAGTTTTATTGGCTTTGCCTTGTGACAAGGAAGTTTTAGAAACTTGCAGTCAGTTCTCCATTCTGGCTGCATGTAGAATAACTGGAGAGCTTCTAAACAATTCTATTGTCAACCTACGCTCTCAAACCATATGAATCAGAATTTTTGAGGGCAGGGCCTGGGCGTCAATATTGTTTTCAAGCTCCTCAGGAGATTCTAATGTGTAAGCCAGGGTTGATACCACTGCTTTAAGAAAGGGCTTCTCAAATTTTTTTTTTTTTTTTTTTTTTTTTTTTTTTTTTTTTTTTTTTTTTGTTCCGGTC